GATATCTAAACTGGTGTACCCAGTAACACTATACCGGTGCTGCGAAGGCTGTCCCACCGGTTCATAAAGAAGACAACGATGAGTCAGAGACTTCTTCTTCAGAGACTGCTTCTAGAAAAACACGGTCAAAGCTCTTTGCCTGTGAGTTTCCTGTCCAGGCCTGTGAACAGGAAGAGGTTGAGCACAACTCTCCTCAGAGCTCTGATTGTCTCCTCTGTTTGAGCAATTCAACTTAAATTCAGAGGCAAAAAAATTCCCAAAAACCAATAATGCAAAAGAGTCAAAATTCACAGTTCAGCCAAGTATCCCAATAAAGTAACACAAAGATGGATAAATATCAATCTTCCTATCAGTCGTCCTTGTTTGACTGCAAGTGTGTCATCACTGAGATGGATTTGGTTACGATCTATCTCAGCGTTCTGTCTCTGACAGTTAAGCGGCATCCTGCCAGTTCATAATCTCTGTTTAGGGCCAGATAACGTTCTAATCTTTGGATTTTAGTGTCTTTTTTCCTAGTATTTCAGATAGCTTTCTTTGCATTGTGAGGAAACTGGGGTGTTGTCAGACTGGTCAGGGGATATTTGAGGGGAGGCATTTAATCAGTCAGGCAGTTAGTTTCTCTTTTCTGGGCTCGACTGCAGCGTTTTGAGGACTTTAGACTGGAGGGTGCACTGGGACGAGATTTAAGGTTAAATAAAAACAAATCGAGGGCTCTCCTTTGAATGTAAATGATCGCTGTGTATCTGCAGGTTATGTTAGGAATTTGTTGGTGTTGTTATTTGCAGAATGCTGCTTCTTTCTTTATTGCTCGCGCTTTAACCTGGAGTCAGCTCGTACGGTTTGATTGCCTCGTCAGCATTCAGTAACACCAACAAGAATAGAAAGCTTATTGCTGTTAAGTAACTGAACATGAACTAATTTAGATTAAACACACATTGCTTGGGCATCATGAAGGTTACTGCCATTGCCTCAGTCCTAGTGTCACAGTCTGGCGAGGGCAGACTGTAGGGGTTGACAAAAGGACCCAAAACGCAGACTCCAAGGAACAGGGAACAGAACTTGAAATGTTAAC